GTTGCTCCACGGAATTAGGTAAAGAACGATACGGTATTATGCCAACATTCTTTCGCTACAATTTCATATTGATTAGCAAGAGCTCATATTTCAATTAAATCTTTGTAAAAACGTCTAGTGTTAACATTAGTATGTACCAAGACATTGAAGATGAAAGAATAAAATAATCATATGACATGCTTTCTTTATGGCATATTTGAAAATCTAAATAGAGGTACAAGATCGGTTTACCAAAAGCAGGCATAATGCAAGAGCGACAAATTGCTGTCTCTTTGATCGATTCCGTAGTCAGTATTGTACCAGACACTCAAGATGTAGCCAGTGGCATACAAAATCTTCCAATTCCTCTGGACTTTCAGTAGGTTTTAACATCTGCTTGATGCTTTGTATGGTATTCAAAGATCTGCTTTAGTATTAGGCTGTGAGCTCTCTAGAAATAAGATTTTTTTTGTCAGGCTTGATATGCATGCCAGGTTTATGATGCCTCACTAATCTCCTCAGCCCTGTAAATACATTGTATAATACAGCTTAGAAATAAATTATGCAAATATTCTTAACTATAACATGAACAAGATAATATTAATCATATTTAAACCCGCCTTAGTCTCACCAAATTTAAGAACTTGTAACAATTGTGAAATAATATCCATAACATACAGTGGTGTTCAAAAAAAAAGACACAAACAAATTTCCTTCTAACTCATTGCATATTGCTCCAAATAATATGATTTGAACTTTAATTGAAAGCCTAAAAGGCGTGTTTATTGATTTATTATATTAAATTAATTAGAACAGTATTCAGAATATTTATATTGTCCCACTCTTCAGTCATAAACTGTTCTAATTCACAGTTTTTTTGGTTTATGCCCTTCCCCATTTGTTTTAACTATGTTCCAAAGGTTTTTCAATAGGATTAAGGTCAGGACTGTTGGAGGACCAGTCCAAAACCATTGGAACATTGTTTTGGAGAAATTCCTTTGCATTATGTGAGGTATGCTTAGGATCATTATCCTGTTGTGCCATCTGCTTCCCAACAGTTCTCTTATTTCTGTAAGGCACAACCACCCCCCTCCCCGCCCGGCGTTTTTTTACGCTCGCATCAACAACAGATCGGGTTTAGATTTTGGATCAAATGATGAAGGCAGAAATTTACTATACGGTAAAAAAATGTGAATGCTGATGTTGATTGGGTGGACCGCTAATTTCGCCGATCGCAAATAGCTTTGTTGACCAAACGCAATAAAAAGACGTTGCTGTATTATGACCAATAGTTCTCTCGTATATATCCGCGGTGAAACAATTGGAATGATGCTAATTCCGACTTGGTATTTATAAACTGTAATTCGATTACATCACAGTGTTGTTTTTCGTCTAATATAAACAGTTCTCCGGTGCGTTGGATAATAGAGAGTTTTTTTGCAGCGGTGAAAGTGTTTTTGAGGATGTTTCATTAGTGAAAATTAATTGTCATTCAAGTGGTTTTTTGGCCCATATTACCCGGTTTTCTTTATGAGCCATTGTTGATAAGAGGAAGGTTATTTTTATAACCATGTTCACCCAAATGACATCCTACAGTTATGCAAGAGACCACAGTTCCTTCCTCCTTTAAATTAATTTAGTAGAAATGGTCGGGTTTCTTTGAAGTGCTGGCTGGAAATCAGTCCATGTCAACATCTAGATCCTCAACCGGTATATAGTTGCCGTCCGGAACGTTTACAGTTCTCGTGCTTGCTTTCTACAAAACAACGTACATGACATGGAAAGCGCATTAACATTGCATTCACAAGCTTACGAATGGACCTTCTCAATCCCCAGAAATAGCATGTCAATTCAACTTAGTAAGAGTTAAACTGAGCACAATGAGCATAAACTAACCAGTTTGTGTTTGTTGTTATTCTTAATATCCATATTGTATTTCTTCCGTTGATGTTTCCGTTTTTTCGAAACTACCATATGTGATTGAGAAGCAATAGTACTCGCTTTACATCTCCTTTTTCTCTGGTTATTTTTTTAAAGTTATAATAGATTGTTCTTTGGTCAAT